AGAGATGTTGCTCCAATGGGATAGTTATCCAAGAGGGATAAGTCCCGGCTCTCCAGAGGGAGAATCATGTGGGACGGACCTCACAAGTTGAGGAGTACCTCAACAAACAACTCTACGAAGCTCAATGGACTAAGCAAGCAGCGAGGAGTCGTTGCATGATCTCGCTCGAGAGAATGCATTGGTGGATGCATTGCGAGATAAAGTGGGGGAGCGACCCAAAACAACTTAAATGAAGGCACACTTGGAGTCGATGTGGAGATCGGACTCAAGGGAGGGCTGACCCGTGAAATGGTGGGCGCGAGGGCCACCATCGACTCAATGCAAAAACGAGGAGCGGAGCAACTTGGGTGTAACTTGGAGAAGTACCCAAGCCGCATGAAGGGAGCCAACATAGAAGTTGGAACATGGAGCGGAGGCACAGTGCTTTCCTTGGACAGAGGTCAAGGACATGAACTCTTGCAGAGGCAAGAGTAGAATCATGTTGTTCTATGGGTTCTTCATCCTGACGGAGCGGACTCATCTTGCATGGTGCCAAAGACGAAAGGAGCTTCTGGGCACATGCACCTTATCTCGGAGAAGCATTTGATGAAGGAACTAAGGCGACTCAATTTGCGGAGGCGAAATTGGGTTCAGAAGGCCTTAGCACGGGGCAAGAGGACTCAGAGGTGGGTACTCTTGAAGAATATGCCACAGTGTTGCCATTCAAGTTGTCATGAAGGAAGAGGTGCGCAGCGGAGATTGTGCTGGTAGGGGTAGAGACCCAGGATCCAGACAATGGTGCACAAATTACCGTGAAGTCGGTGGACTTCGGGAGCTACTAGGCGACGGACTGTCCTAGAGCGGTGCTTCATCTAAGTATGACCCAAGAGTGGGTAGATGAAGGTCGATTGCCAAAGGAGCGAACAAAATCGAAGGTGGAAGAGACCCTACGATGTATTGGCAGAGGCCACACATGGAGGGTTCACAATTCGAGTTTATTCCACAAGGATCAGAATGCAATGGAGATGTCACTAGGAGGCGACATGGTGCAGCGGATCGTGGTGGAACAGTTCGTGGCAATGCGATACACACGACATAGTCCCGTGAGGGACTAGATCATATGGAGGTATGATCGGGAGCAACTGGAAGCTCCACTTCGGTGAACAACACGACGGCAAGAAGGGCTATGGATTCAAGGAGTGAAGGCCATGGTACCGCAGAGGCGGGTCTTCCGTGCGTGCATCGAATTTTGCATCGGATGAAAGCCTTGGTCATCAGCATATGGGGGCTGTGTTCCACCAAGGGAAAAGTTCGAATGCAAGTACCAATGAGTCCCATGGGAGGGACTTGATCATGCAGAGGTATGATTGAAGCAGCTGGAGAGTTGGACTGCTCCAGAGCTCATATTCGCTTAAGGGGGCCCGGCAAGTCAGAGGACTTGGTCGAGTAAGCGAACGTTGCTACCAAGGAAGCTAAGGAGAACAGAATCGGTGCAAACCCTGCAACGTGATGGTAGAGGTCATGCATGGGAGTTGCAGTCTGTCTTTCCATCGACCAAACGGACTGCTTGGAGAACACAGAGGTGTTGAAGCAGGGGGTCGAAAGGGGCGAGGAAGCGACGACGAGTCCAGAGGGACTTAGCTACCCAAAATCAAGCATCAGTTAGAATGTAGGTGGACTCAGAAGTGTGCCACGGAGACATCTACTGATCGTGAAGAAAAGGGATGCAGATGCGAGGCGACGGATAGTAGGGCCATGGGCATGGCAGCGCCATGGTACCGCGGAGGCGGGACTTCCGTGAAAGTCATTAATCCCTTGCTCTCATGGAGGGAGAGCGCTTGGTCGTGAAAGGGGCCGAGGAGGTGGAGAATGCAGAGGCAATCTCCAAGTACCGAGACAAGGCTGAAGGGCAGAGGCCGAAGAACTTCATAAGACCGGTGTCAATGAGCTTCTCATCAAGATAGACGAAAGTGAAGGACTTCGGGTCATGCAAGAGTGCATAACCAAGGAACGAAGCAGGCAGTACGCGGTGCTGTACCTTCGCTACTCAGGGGAGTAGGCGGCAAGGTCGATTGAGAAGATGATACAATCCCAGAGGCGACCAAACCTATGAGAGAATTACTCCAAGTTGGGGTGAAAACTTCCTGCATTCCAGAAGTTCGATAGCATTGAGAAGGTGAATCACAGTAACTAACTCAACGCAAGGAGTGCAAACACTTCAAGTGCTTCAGAAGTGTGAGCAAAGAGCAGGCAAAGGCTAGTAACCAGCTCGATGCATGGAGTACAACCTCGAGGAGGCGAGCGAAGTCAAGTAACCTTTGCCTTCTCAACCCTTAAGAGAATGGGCGAAACCGAGTACCCCAATTCTCTTATCTATCCAGCAGAGGAGCTCTGCACAAGTTCAAAGACCCTTCGAAGATAATGGAAGACAATAGTTGTCAAATCCTCACCAACGGTGATCAGTGCTACTGAGAGTAGATTGTCCGCTTCATTTCCTAACGAAATGTCAATCGAAAGCGGAAGTGATGCGAACCTACTTGGATGTGACAACTAAGTGAAAGAAGAGTCAATGAGCAAATTTTGTGCAGAAAGGACCCAAAACTTCAGAAGTTTACGAGACGATGCTCGTTAAAGCTCCAACAAGCATCCACCCAGTTCAAGCAGCGTGAGGAATTTGAGAGACTGACGCATTAAGGATGGTCTTTTCCTTCATCTAGGGGATCTGCAGGAATCAACAAGGATCAACACAACTCAGCCAACCCCACACCAGAGTCAGAGTCATTGGTGAGTTGAAGCAGCATGGCGGATTAAAAGGTTCGACTACTCAAAAACAGCAGCAGGGAGCAGCTGGGAGCCAAGAGGCGCATTGTAGCTGGAGCAGAAGATTGAAGACTCGGCAAAGGCGAGGAGTTGCAGTGTCGACAAAGGCTTCAACGAGGACGTCGAAGGAATAAGTGGGGGAGAATGTCACGGACAAACTTCTAAACAGGATGTTTGATGTAATGCTTATGTATGTCCGTGTCTTTTGGTATGTTCATGCCTTGTACAGCATGTAGAGGGACGGTCGAAGGCTTAATAATCTCATTTTAGTTGGGTTGGTGACCTCTTTAGGCTTATAAATAAAGGTTGTGTCATGTGGACACGTGCGAGAGATTTTCGGTCTGTAATGGACCATTTTACCCTTTGTTGTGCAACTGTTCAGAGCTTGTAAAGTCTGTTTGTAATTTGCATTGTCTATGAAGTGTTTTTCGGAGATGTTTACTTGTGGATCCCGATTGAGGCGTTCTCTCTATCCCGTTCTCTCTCTTGTTGGTCCTAAGGGACAATGGGAGGCTTCGAGGAGGCTGACCTTTGCGGACGGACACGCAAGGGTGCCGCACGACTTAAGCAAAACCAGCTAAGTCCGTGACAATATGTTGAAATTCATACTAGCACCATCAAACTTGACATGTGCATAAGAATACTATTAATTTCTAAAAAATTTACTTTCTAGATCCTCCTATGCTCAACTATAGAAGTTTTCTTTTCTCAAGCTTGAACTGCAAGAGATCCCTACCTCTGCTAGAGCAATTGCTTAATTACTCAGCGACACACAACTCAAACGAATTCTTAGCAGAATGCCATCAAAGTTACCAAATAGATTCTCAAACTATAATAACTATGTATATATGGTTCCGAAAAATACTAGGGATGTACACCATAAACCACATGCTAACCACAGGTAGAGCTAGATAACTTAATACATGAACAACAACAAAACCAATAACAACATAGTAGCTAAATAGCTTCTCAGGATCTAATGATAAAGAAGAGAGCTCCAACGGAACTAGAGTAGCTCATTCAACTTTAAATGTCATGGAGTACTATAGCTAAGCAACAAAATCCATAGGAATTTGACACAAAATAACAAGGCATAAGAAAGAGGCCATATGAAATTTGATTTACAAAAGATTCTACATTTCACATTGAAATGGAATCGTTAGAACATAAGCCAAGCGAACTATGCAAATTGTGAAGTAAGAGTCATAAAAGCTTTATAAGCCAGTCAAGCAGAAACCTAGCCATTTGACCATATGCACATGCAGAACCATAAGATAACTTGGACTAATCTCAATTACCAAAATTCTAGCATTAAACAAAATTGTTACATAAGTTCTAGGAGAAGATAGGAATTACATGTAAGTGTTGCACATTAACCTAAAGGTGACAGAATGAAACATAAATATCTATCATCGTAGAGATCAAAGATTACAGAAAATTAAAGATACATGACAAAGTAATGAAAGTCAAGTATCTAATAAAAAGATAATTTCGAAAATGATAACAGAGAAGTGACTTACTTTCTTCTTGAGGCAGCACTGCAGAAAATGCAACGAACAAAGAGAAGGAAGCAACAAAAATAAGTCAGATGTCAAGTTAGAAAATGCATAAAAAAGCCAAATTTTTCAAAGTTATTGCTACTAAACAAGCATAGAGTTGACAAGGAGTAACTATTTTACATTAAATTATTATTTTACAGAACAGAGATTGAATGCTATTCAGTTGTAATAGTGTCAAAAAAGGTGAGAAAGCTACAATTACAGGTATAAGAATTTCCTTCTCATGTATGTTTTGGCAATTTCAGGAAGAAATTAGTGATGAACTTTTAAAGTTCACCTTAGACTAGTAGCACAAAAGAGTGCCAAAAAAATATTGAAGAATACAAGTGGCACACAACATTCACACCATAAATTTAAAGCATTCAGTTGTGGCATGTTAGAAAAAAAATGCATACCGGTAAAGTACATAAAAACCATGTTGTTAGGCATGCCCACACCACATACCGCTGAGCAGGTATCATTAATTGGCACAACCCAAGAATCATGGCAATTAACTTGCCAGTGTCATGGTAATTATAATGCTAACACCAAGTGCAATGGGAGAGAATGTCAAAACAACTGACAACATAATTCACACCCCCAAACACATCAAAATTAGGTATTGACTGCCCATAGCAATAATTTCAATTTAACAAAGTAAAAATGGATCATTGAACAAATTGCTTGAATCATCAACATGCAATCTAGATTTTCAGTTTCTTTGTCATATGCTTCTACCGGCAGTTGCCAACGGTTGTCTGCTTCTTGGAATAACTCAAACAGATCTAATCCCAACAATAATTTGTAGCATTTAAGCATATGCTACTACAGTTGATGACTACATTACGTATGTTATGACATGACAATTTTTATGTGCATGGTCAAACAGCCAATGCCCATATGTGGGTATGAAAGCTGTACAGATGCATAGATATGTCACAAGTGTCGATTCCCCACTATTGGAACATAGCAGATGACACAAGACAACATAACCATCCATAGTATTTCTTTTAAATTGATTCCAGAGATTAATAATTACTGCCAAGAAATTATCTATTTTTCTATCTTGTTCCTCCATCTTTTCCACTGCAATCTTCAGTCCTGATATTTTCGATTGGTAAAATTTTCTTCAATAGTCTTATTCAATTTACTGAATATTCCCTCATGCAACTAATACTGTTTGTTCCAACCCACATATTGAATCAAGTTCAACAACAGCTCTAGTACCAATCTAAGGCAGTCTCAGTGTTATCTACGTTTATTTAAATAATCGCAGGATGAAACCCAATCAATAAAGTCGTGATTAAATCAACTCATCAAGAACCATAAATCCAATTAATAATGTATAAGAGATAGTAAACAATGACAAATATTTTATCAGGGATAACATAAAACTTAGCTTGTTAAAAGATAGCAACAAAGATTAAAAAAATATAAAATAGAGATCATAGAAGGTGAAGAAGACGGGAAGTGGTGACAAACAAATTTCTTGTTGTAATCAAAATGAAGAAGGTTGGAAGTGGTGACAAACAAATTTCTACTTCCACATTACAACAAGGCACACCTTGATATTATAGTAGTGGAACTCCTTCCATTAGATTCATCCAAATAACCTAATCAAGGTAAGATATCAATTGTTCAAAAACAGAAATAATCAATCACATACTAGGGCAGCTTCACAGATAAGCAATTAGTAGTTTCCTATTGTCCAATGACCCTTAGTAAAAACTATGATAGAAAAGAGATCAATAATATATCACGGCAACTCGATGAGCAATCATAGTTATGCATAACATGATCAGAATTAAAATTAAACCAAGTTAAGAAGATTCCTGCTTTTGCTAGGGAAAACTATGAGACCAACGCAGGGTGTTGAGCCCTTTAGGAAGCTGGTTGATGGATCTATAGAATCAAGGTTTGTCTGAATTCATGCTACCAAGAATCTGGCCCTCGATCTATCAAACTTACATCAATTATGGTAAATTCCCTCCTCCACTGTCACCTAATTACATATCCTTAAGGCCAACAACATTCACCGGTAAAAATATCAACTTTTTACAAATAGAAATTGTAGACCCTTGTCCAGCAATAGAGCATTTGACTTGAGCCCTAGATATAGACGAAAACTATTGAAGAGCTTGGTTGACTATACAGTTACATCTAATTATGTACAACAAATTTCTATCAAAAGAATTTAAATCGCATAACAAGTTCAGTACTATATTTCCTTTCTTTTTTAGATGTATGTCTCTCGACCTAATAAAGATATTAGCTCCACCTGACAAATACTTCTTTTCCCTGTTTAAAACACCAAAAACAAGAACTCGTACCGTTTCTGCCGTATATCTTCGCATTCTCGGCAACCTGAAAAAGGGAGGGAAAGCATAAGGAAACGCTCCATTTATGACCACAGCTCGGACTAAACGAGTTAATGAACGAGCAGATCAAGAAAGACACGCGTTCCTACCTGGAAATCCGTAAGACCCTTGGTTGGATCTACACCAAATGCTTCGAGAACCTGAGGCCACGGTCAGAAGAACGAGGACTAGAATCACGAATTGGTAGAGATCCAACATCGAGCGAGAGAGAGCCAGAATTACCTCGGAGACGGATCTGGCGTACGCGTCGTTCATCGAAGATCAAGCGGCGGATCGAGAAGAGGATGAAGACGGAGACGAGGAGTGAAGGGGGACTGGAGATCTGAAGCAATGGTGTGTTTTTCGCCGGACAAGAAACCGTAGGTTAGGTCTTTAAGGGGGCCATCTTGGGGAGGCAACGGCACGTTAACGGAGCTGACGGTGGCGTGGGCTAGAGAAAGGCGTTCCTGACTGACGGAGCGGGCTCAGGTGGGGGCACTCGCCGTTAGTGGGCCGGACACTGGATGCGCGAGGTTGCCGACGTGGTTAGGATCCTAATTGAGATGGCTCGATCTTGCTCTAACATCACAACGGTTATGGTGCGAATTGGAGGGTACATAGATAAAAGCACAATTGGAGAGGATCCACAATTGGAAGCTATTTATTCAAATAGTTTTTATCGCATCAACTTGGATTTATTTAGGAAAAGGTCTGTAAGTAAAGAAGCTAAGGTTGCCAACGGCCGGTTTTCTAATGTCCAATTGAATCCGGTCCACGTAAACCATGTTTAAATCTAATATAAATTCATATAGAAAATTCAGATTTCGAGTTCGAACACATAAATAGTTCTATCGCCAATGTGTTGAATTTTTAAGAAATTAAAAATCGAGTTTAAGCATTCTTTAACCACTTTTGAAATGAGTTTACAATTAGGCGTTTTCAGCTTACAGTATTAATTTTCGAACAGATTCCAAAGAGACGAAATTGTCTTAATTTTAAAAAGACGTTTTCAGCTTACAGTATTAAATATCATCTAATATTCTTAGCCACTTTGGAAAGGTTTAAAATGATTCTATAAACGGGACGAGGATGGCGACCACAATCAAATAGAAATAGAAAGGAAATACGATCTAAGCAACACTTTGTGAACAAAAAGATTTGAAGAGAGAAACAGAAGACTAAAGAAGATATATAGCGTGCATAGGTTCCTCACATCATAAATGTAGTTACAGAATTTACCAATAGCCAAGCTGCAGGGTCGAAACAATGTGGTCAATAACATGTCATGACATCCACATGCAACCTGTGCTAACAGATTAATTTTGTATCAAAATACTGCATATAATGGTGGTGAAGCTTCCAAAATGCCGAGTCTTTTTACTTTCGGGTGGACTACTCAAGAAAGAGATCACAGCTTTACAAACAGTTGTTGCTCAGAATGATAGACCACACAACTAAAGCAAACAACAAAAAGGGAAAACAGTGTCATTTACCTCTTTAAATTTGCAAGCCAAACAATTCAATTATTCATCAAATATCACAGAATATTGATAATATTTCCCATTTAAATCTTAATTTGCAGAGCGAAGATGGCAAAAATATCATTTAAACACATACAAGACCCTTGTTAGAATGGGAAAAATTAGGAACATTCAGGTGCTATTTGCAGTATCCTAAAATTGGAATTACAACAGAAAGACAAAGAAATAGCCAATATAGTGCAGAAGATGTTAAGAACCAAAGGTGAGATAAAGAGTATGTATAAAGGCTAAAACCTTGTAATGTTGCAACCATATGGAGTCGCTTAATACATATTTTTCCCATCACTCTGCTTTATACTAGGTAACATCTCTGTTTATATCAAGAACATTCAACTCTCTTTTTATTGTTTCTAATAAAGTCCTTATCCATCCTTCAAACACTAGTGTTAATCAACTCATATTGTCTAAGAACAACATCTATAGATCTTTATTTCTGTATATATTCAAACCAAATTTAACGATTTTTATTTTTTATTTTATTCTTTATCGATATTTTATAACCTAATTGCTCATGAATGAACACATTTAATTGTTTTTTCATCCTTCCTAGAAATTTCACACATACACCTCAGATGTATCATTTCAATTACAAATAAATAATGTTTCTTAATTTCACCTTATACAAGTTACAAAAATGGCTATATTTAGCCATCAAGACATAACCATGCAACTATTGCTCTCCCATGCATGTTTGACAGGATAGTAAAGGCGTAATTCACATCCAATTATCTGACTTACAACAATATAAAACCATTAGCAACTACATCATCACAAAACATCAATACCTACCATCATAATGCTTGCATTAGGAAACAATTCGTAACACCTACATATCCTCCATCCCCTGCTTTGATGATTTCGGGTATCCTTTGTATTCCAACTTAACCCCCATATTTGCTGAAATAATCCTGAACTTTAGTCTCATGGCATCCATCATCTCCTGAACATGCTCATTTTCAGGGTCCAACAATGGATACTTCTTAAGCAGATCTCTCAGTTGTTGGATACTTTTTTGGAGCCTAGATGAGAATGACCCTGGATCAACTTGGATCAGTGAGTTCCACACATCAACACAGCCCTGATAAAAGCCAAGCTCCTCCCCAACTTGAAAACCCATCTTCAATCCCACCTCTCTCCCCTCCTCTTCACCAGTTTTCAAGCCATCTCTATACCCATCCTTGAAACCTTCTTGGCACAGGGTTTCGTCCAGAAGAACAATGGAATCAAAAATGTCAGAAGCATCTCCAGATGTTTGCTCCATGTTTACAATGGAGAACTTGAGAATAAGCTCAGTAGTGTCACCTGGCCCATAACCAAAATAAAGGAAAAGCAGCTAAGCATGAAGAAAACATTCCAGCTAACTTGAAAATGTGTATATTTGAAGTCAGTATCTAGCCACCACATAGAGTTTTTACACAAGCAGCCAACAGCCATCGCAAAATCCACCTCTTTACTTTCTTTTCCAAGTTCATAAAGTAGAAGAAGGCCATCAACAGCTTACAGACAGCACGACCAAACATATAAGGAAGTCTTCTCATCTCCAAAGAAGAGGAGGGAACCTAATGCCAGATTGATGTTAAGATTTTTCTTTTTATACACTCAGTGGTTGGCCCTTTAACTTTGAATTGCCAAGTATGTATTATTGTTGTTTTTCTTCTATTTGCATATTACCCTCAAGCAGCATACTATGGTAAAGTTAAAATAAATTCCTTAGATTCTGTCTTCGATCTGTGTATTACCCTCAAGCAATATATTATGGCAAAGTTAATATCAATTCCTGAGATTGTGTACATGGTGCCTGATATATTTGAGGGAAATAAAAGTGAGAACACTCATATTACAATCAAATTTTGGTGCTAAATCATATTTTAAGAAATGATAGATCAAACAGGACAACCATTTGATAAATTGTTTTTTTCACCCAGAATCAAAACATAACAGCTACAAAGTTGGGATCGCGAAAGACATAGTCGCAAGCCAACCAACCTAAATCAGAATGTAAAGTCAGGAAAACATGGTATCAAGATCAAAGAAATCGAAGAGGATTCCTTGTTTGCAACCATTCAAGATGGGAAAGAGAGAAGAAGAATCCACCTTTGATCAAGGCTATCATCTCGTTATGCCGGAGATGGAGCAAAGACCCGAACGAGATGGAGCGAGGGCAAACCGTGATAGGGCAGAGAAGTAGAAGAACAAAGGAGTCTGTGGAACTCAGCTACGGTTCATTTTATCACCCGGTCTGAATCGGTCCATGTTATAAAAACCGCTCAATTCGTCGGTCGATGAGACAGTGCGGTTCGATTCTATTGAGCTCCCTTTAAGTCAGCCCGAGTATGGTTGTTCAACGATGGAGTGATAAAGGAAGACTCGAAAAAGGATACGGCGTATTGTTAAGAATATTTTGTATAAAATTTAATATAATATTTCGGGAAAAATGTTAGCTTTAGAAAACGTATATAAAAGAAAATTAGTTCGAAATAATTTGCCACTTTCATAAATAACTTTAAAGATGAAAATGATTACGATTTAGAATAATAATGATGATGATAAGGGTGTATAGAGACAAGTTGAGTTTTCACTTTTGAATAGAGGAGAATATTTCTTCTTCTTTCTCTCCACTTCAAGTACACCAACGCAGCTCGGTAGTGTGTATAAGCTCCAGAAACAACCGGAGGTAATGTTCTCCCCTATTTAAAAGTGAAAACTTTTAAATAGTTTGAACTAGTTTAAAGGTATTGTTAACATCAATCTGGCATTAGGTTCCCTCCTCTTCTTTGGAGATGAGAAAACTTCCTTATAAGTTTCAACTACTATGTACCAATCAACATATTAAATAACTTAATACAGCACAAACCTTGTGCCAACTAGAACAAGCCCAAATTGCCAAGGGTGTGCCTCCACACCCTCAATAGAGTAGGACAAAATACCTTACTTGTACTGTACGGCACACCCACAAGAGCAGGGCACAATACCTTACTTGAACTGTACACATTAAATAACATGCCTTGGTAAAGTCAGTATGGATATCCTGCTTGATACTTCCCAGGACAGGTATGTAACTGATCCAAGTCAAGAAATAGACACTTTCTTTTTGAAGTCCAAGAGTACTAGGTTTAGGCTTACGATTAGAATTTTCTATATTCAATAAAGGGATATATATATATTCATTCCTGTTTGAACACAAATTTGACTTATGAGGATTAAGTAACACGAAAAGAGTTTTGATGGCTAATGGATTTAGTTATTGCTGATGTCTCTTCATTCAGATTGTTGTTTTTCCTATTGCCTCTCTCAGATGTCTTTTTCTTATTTCCTTATTCCACATTTTTTTAACAGACTTCTTCCTGCTTTTAAATTTGAGAAAATTACCAAAAAAAGTCCCAATATTTTGGAACTCATTTGTTTGTTCACTTAATCCTGTTTTTATACAATATTAAGTACATCAGTTTTACACCATGTAAAAGTATCCCAAGTGCCCTCTTTTGCCCACAAACCTTTACTGCACAGCACCATTAAGATACCAGCAGTGTCCAAGCCACTTGTTAAATAAGAAGTTTGGTATGCTAGTTGAATCTGGTTACAAATGCTTTTAGCCTTTCAGTGAAACAAAGATGAGTTAGCTCAAGTAACATCCCCTCAAGGTTAACATCAACCATAAACACGACTACCAAGGTGGACACTCTCTAAACTTGAACATTAATTAACAGATTCAATTGCCAGCCCTTGTAAACAACCTGCATATGTTGAAATTCATACTAGCACCATCAAGCTTGGCATGCACATAAGAATACTATTAATTTCAACAAAATTTACTTTGTAGATCCTCCTACGCTCAACTATAGAAGTTTTCTTTTCTCAAGCTTGAACTGCAAGAGATCCCTACTCTGCTAGAGCAATTGCTTAATTACTCAGCGGTACACAACTCAAGTGAATTCTTAGCAGAATGCCAACAAAGTTACCAAATAGATTCTCAAACTGTAATAACTATCTACATATGGTTCCAAAGAATACCAAGGATGTACACCATAAACCACATGCTAACCACAGGTAGAGCTAGATAACTTAATACATGAACAACAACAAAATCAATAACAGCATATTAGCTAAATAGCTTCTCAGGATTTAATGATAAAGAAGAGAGATCCAATGGAACTACAGTAGCATATTCAACTTTAAATGTCATGGAGTACTATAGCTAAGCAACAAAATTCCACAGGTATTTGACATAAAATTACAAGGCATAAGAAAGAGGCCATATGAAATTTGATTTACAAAAGATTCTACATTTCACGTTGAAATGGAATCGTTAAAACATATGCCAAGCAAACTAGGCATATTGTGAAGTAAGAGTCATAAAAGCTTTATAAGCCAGTCAAGTTGAAACCTAACCATTTGAGCATGCACATGCAGAACCATAAGATCACTTGGACTAATCTCAATTACCAAATTTCTGGCATTAAACAAGATTGTTACCTAAGATCTAGGAGAAGATAAGAATTACATGTAAGTGTTGCACATTAAACTAAAGATGACCAAATGAAACATAAATATCTATCATCGTAGAGCTGAAAGATTACAGAAAATTAAAGATACATGACAAAGTAATGAAAGTCAAGTATCTAATAAAAAGATAATTTCGAAAATGATAACAGAGAAGTGACTTACTTTCTTCTTGAGGCAGTACTGCAGAAAATGCAACGCACAAAGAGAAGGAAGCAACAAAAATAAGTCAGATGTCAAGTTAGAAAATGCATAAAAAAGCCAAAATTTTCAAAGTTTTTGCTACTAAACAAACATCGAGTTGACAAGGAGTAACTATTCTACATTAAATTATTATTTAATAGAACAACAGAGATTGAATGCTATTCAGTTGTGATAGTGTCGAAAAAGGTGAGAAAGCTACAATTACAGGTATAAGAATTTCCTTCTCATGTATATTTTGGCAATTTCAGGAAGAAATTAATGATGAACTTTTGAAGTTCACCTTAGACTATTACCACAAAAGAGTGCCAAAAAAAATATTGAAAAATGTTCAGTACTATATTTTCTTTCTTTCTTAGATGTATGTCTCTCGACCTAATAAAGATATTAGCTCCACCTGACAAATACTTCTTTTCCCTATTTAAAACAGTAGTGAAACACAAAGCAGAAACAAGAACTCGTACCGTTTCTGCCGTATATCTATGCATTCTCGGCAACCTGAAAAAAGGGAGGGAAAAGCATAAGGAAACGCTCCATTTATGACCACAGCTCGGACTAAACGAGTTAACGAACGAGTAGATCAAGAAAGACACGCGTTCCTACCTGGAAATCAGTAAGACCCTTGGTTGGATCTACACCAAATTCTTCGAGAACCTGAGGCCACGGTCAGAAGAAACGAGGACTAGAATCACGAATTGGTCGAGATCGAACATCGAGCGAGAGAGAGCCAGAATTACCTCGGAGACGGATCTGGCGTACGCGTCGTTCATCGAAGATGAAGCGGCGGTTCGAGAAGAGGATGAAGACAGAGACGAGGAGTGAAGGGGAACTGGAGATCTGACGCAATGGTGTCCTCGCCGGACAAAGTACCGGGGGTTAGGGCTTTAAGGAGGGGGCCGTCTTGGCGAGGCAACGGCAAGTTAACGGAGCTGACGGTGGCGTGAGCTCGCGAAAGGCGTTCTTGACTGACGGAGCGGGCTCAGGTGGCTCACTCGCCGTTAGTTGTCCGCACACGGGAAGCGCACGGTTGCCGCCGTGGTTAGGATCCTAATTGAGATGGCTCGATCTTGCTCTAACATCACAACGGTTAAGGTGCGAATTGGAGGGGACATAAATAAAAGCACAATTGGAGAGGATCCACAATTGGATGCTATTTATTCAAATAGTTATTATCGCATCAAGTTGGATTTATTTAAGAAAAGGTCTGTTAGTAAAGCTAGGGACGGCAACGGCCGGTTTTCTAATGTCAATTTAAATCCGGTCCACATGAACCATGTTTAAATCTAATATAAATTCAGATAGAAAATTCGGATTTCGAGTTCAAACACATAAATCATTCTATCGTGAATGTGTTGAATTTTTAACAAATTAAAAATGGAGTTTAAGCATTCTTTAACTAGTTTTGAAATGAGTTTACAATTAGGCGTTTTCAGCTTACAGTATTAATTTTCGAACAGATTCCAAAGAGACGAAATTGTCTTCATTTTAAAAAGACGTTTTCAGCTTACAGTATTAAATATCATCTAATATTCTTAGCCACTTTGGAAAGGTTTAAAATGATTCTATAAACGGGACGAGGATGGCGACCACAATCAAATAGTGAACAAAAAGATCTGTAGAGAAAGAAACAGAAGACCAAAGAAGATATATAGCGTGCATAGGTTCTTCACATCATAAATGTAGTTACAGAATTTACCAATAGCCATGCTGCATGGTCGAAACAACGTGGTCAATAACATGTTATGACATCCGCATGCAACCTGTGCTAACAGATTAATTTTGTATCAAAATACTGCATATAATGGTGGTGAATACTGTGCTAACGTATTCGTATATTCTGAGGGTTAGCGTATTGTTAAGAATATTTTGTATAAAATTTAATATAATATTTGTAAAAAATTATTAGCTTTAAAAAACATATATAAAAGAAAATTTGTTTACAAATATTAGCTTTAAAAAACATATATAAAAGAAAAAAAATAGTTCACCATAATTTTCCACTATCATAAATGACTTTAAAGATGAACGTAATTATGATTTAGAATAATGATGATGATGATGATAAGGGTGTATAGAGACAATTTGAGTTTTCACTTTTAAATAGAAGAGAATATTTTGTCTTCGTTCCCTGCACTTCAAGTACACAAACGCAGCCCGGTTGGCTTGCGATTGTCTTCTGCAATCCCAACTTTGTAACTATTATGTTTTGATTATGGGTGAAAATAAACAATTCATCAAATGGTTGTCCTGATCTATTATTTTATAATTTTTTATAATTATTATAATATAATTAATTAGATTACGATGATATATATTGGTCAATAGAAAAGAAATCCATTTAAAATAGAATCCTTAAGAGCTGAAAGGATATTTTCTGATTACTTATTCTATATCCTTTACTCTCATCTGTAAATAGACAAGACCTCTATGGATTATAGTATCTCTCTCAACTCTTCTCTCTAAACATCAATATAAGTGGTTAAGTGAAATAATAGAAAAAGATGAGAAGAATTTAGTTCTCTTTGCATATTGACAACGATCTTAGATCTAAAAACGGTGCCTTTTGTAGAACAAACAGATATCTCTTTTTCAGATTATATCAAAAGGTACGTATCATAAAACCAGATTTAATTATATTTTATTTCAATCATAACATAAAATATTATTTTTATATTTAATATAGCATATTATAGATTTTATGCTAACAATGGTATTAGAGCCTAGGATCTTCAGATCAAATATATTAAATCTATTATCCCTATTCTCCGATGATCGTAAAGCAACAATGGTCGTCGTCAATCTTACTACGTACAGCCAGTGAATCTACAAGCGATAGAGGCTGCATTGGGTAGCGTGAATGCCGCAGCGCAGCAGATGGCAACACCACGCCCATACAACGGCCACACGCAGGCAGCACTGTGTCCATGCGGCGGTTGCATGAGGGTAGTAGGATGCATCAAGGCGGTGACTACGCATGGGTAGGCCGCACCCAAGCGATAGTCGCACGTTGGCAAGAGCCGCGGCGACACAACCACCCATAGGCATAGGACGCGTAGGGCGGCAACCACGTGCCAGCAGGTAGGCCGCACTGATGAGCATAAACCGCGGTAGTGGCAGTCGTGCGCAGGCGCAAGCCGCACCGACGACAACGTTGCAAATCAGATTTTTGCAAAAAAATTATAGTTTTGCCCTAGTATTTCCCTTTCATCAAATTACAACTTTATCCTTCTGTATTTTATTAATATCCTTTAATTCTTTTGATAATTCTGCCCTTTATAAATCTCATAATTCTAATTTATATCCTCTTAAATATGTATAATTTTACCCTTATGAAATTAAAAAAATTTAATTTATATTCTCAATTATAAAATTAATAAATATGATTTATTATAAGTATGATTGAATTTAATCATGGTTATATTTTGATTATTTGATTGGATTTAATTTTAATTTAAAAAAATATAAATTACGATTTACTTTTATAGTTTTTTCATATGAATTATTGATTATATTTTTACATGTGGTAAATAAAATTCAATTATTGTTCTTGGATATTCATTTGGTTATTCACATGTATATATTTAAAATTATGAAATAATATTTATCTTTCACAAGACATGATTTATATGTTATCATGATTATCACATGAGTTTTTTTACTAATTAATATTCAATAATTATTATGATCATTATTCTATTATTGAATTGATTAGCATACATTAAATTAAAAAAAATTGATGAATATTATTTGTAACTTATTTTCCCAAGTTTTTTCTGACTTATACCTATCAAAGTGGTTTGGGATGATAAACTTTTATGATGTGAATTATAATAAAAATTTTATCATTTATAAGATATTTTAAATTATATTTTATATTATTGTATTGGTCTTATAGCCATCAAATTGACCTAGACCAATAACTTATAAAATAATATTAAGAAATTAGTCCTAAATAACATTAAGAAAATAATATTCATAATGACACACATAATTAGGAGATTTAGATAATCCCAAAGAAGAATATACTTCAAATAATTATGCGATGGGGTAGGATGATACTGTTTTGGATATCCTTTTAGTTTAAAATTGTATACCCAAAGGTAACAACACTATTTCACAAAGATGGTATCAGTTCTCCATAGATGATCTTAAGTGAACACTAGATATATCAATATTTCACCCAAATTTATAATAGATGATAACAATAATTCATCAAATTTTGAAAAACTCAAAGCATTAATATTATTTTATATTTTACGATGGTACTTTCGTCCATACCTTCTTATTCTTCTAGTATCTCATACTTTCTGGATCAAATTATTCAGAATTGTTAGAACATGTACAATTTATATTTTGTGTATTATATCTTGATTTAGCATTGCTTGTATAAAAGCGCGTAGACTTGACTGATGAAAGTATTATAGAACAAGTTAATGAAATGAATGCTTGGGAAAGATTTAATAGAGTTAGTTTAATATTCATAAGAATGACGATTGCAAATAACATAAAAACTTCATTACCGATTGCAACTAGCACACGGGAATATTTAAAGAGTATTGAAGACAGATTTAAATATATTGATAAGTCATTGGCTGGCATACTAATGAAAGAACTGATTACAGCTCAATATGATGGCACTCGAGAAATTCAAGATCACATCCTCAATCTGGCTGATAAAGCTACAAAACTTAAAGCATTATGCATGAATGTTGATGAGTCTTTTCTCGCGTAGTTTATTCTCAATTCTCTTCCTTCTCAGTTTGGCTCATTCAAATTCACTTATAATAGAAATAAGAATAAGTGAAACTTGAATGAGTTAACTAGCATGTGTGTTTGAGATTAAAGTAGGAAAGTTCATATAATATCATGATTGCTATTCAAGGAGCTAATAATAAGAAAAGAAAATTGAAGCATCGCCCATCAAAGAAATTTGTTATGTTTAAAAATATTAAACAGACTAATAAAAAGAAAGTTTTACTATAAAGTATTTCTTTTATGGCAATAAGGACATATGAAGAAGGACTATATTAAACATAAGACTTAGTTTCAAAAGAAAGGTATAAACTCAACCTTTGTATATTTCAAATTAAATATTACAGAAATTCCATCTAACACTTGGTGGATTGATTCTTGTACTTCAACTCATGTTACCAATAATATGTAGAGATTTCTTTCAATCTAGAAACCAAAAGAACATGAAAGATTCATTATTATAGGAAATCATCTTAAAGCAAAAGTCATATCAGTGGGTACTTATCGTCTATGCTTAGAGACGGATCATCTGATGGATCTTGTTAACACATATTATATTCCTACTATTTCTAGAAATTTAGTTTCTCTATCTAGAATTGATGAGTTAGGATATTATCTTTCTTTTAGTAATTGTGAACTAAGTATATTTTATGATTCAATAAAAGTTGTTTATAGAATTCTGTGTGATAGTAATGTACATAATTAATTTGAATCTTGAGTTTGTAAAGATATTATTGATCTTGTAACCTAAGAATTGGATTGAAAAATAGTTTCAATAATGAAAGATCTTTTATATTGTGACATAGACAATTGGGGCATATCTCCAATTAAAAAATTAAAAGATTAGTGAAGGATAATATTTTTGGAACATTTAGACTTCACTGATTTTGATGTTTGTATAGATTGTATTAAGGGAAAGCAAAATAAACATGCAAAGAAAAATACCACAAGAAGTAAAGAACTCATTGAGATTATTCATACTGATATCTGCGAACCACTCTATATTTCTTGTTTTAGTGGAGAAAGGTATTTCATCACATTTATAGATAATTTGTCCAAATATGACTATGTTTATCTAATACATGAAAAGTCTCAAAGTCATTGATACTCTTGAAATGTAC